CCAGGTACGCGTTTACATGCAACTAAACCAAGCGAATGTGTTACAACAAAGATCAACAACAACGCAAACCGGAATTCAGTATGATATACATATATCCATATATTTCTCTATTTGCCATTGAACTTTCTGCCAGAAAGCACTTGTGTATCTTTTGTACAATTACCGCATTACAAGCTTGCATGTGCATTTTTAAAAGTGCAAATAACCATTGTGGGGGAAGTGGAATTATTCTGCAATTTATGATTTTAGTTAGGGAAACTGTGATTTTATTTTAAACCTTTTCAATACACACACAGACGCATACACATGTACATTTATCAAAAAAAGAATTAATTTATATTTAAACAATTTACTGTTAAATTTAAATTAAACAATTCATAATTAAAATTTGCAATTTAATACGCAAATGTTATATATATATATATATATATATATATATATATATATATAAATTACGAAATTTTAAACCTATATTTTTAAACATGATTATATATGAGCAATTTCTTTTCGCTTCTTTAAACTTTGCTTACAAAAAAATTAACTTCAAAATCTTGATGCTTTTTGAATAATATATATAAATGATTCTACAATAAGCGTAAATACGTTTTAAACTATTACATAAAACGAGTAATAAAATTGATTAAAAATATCATCGCAAAATGGTTGTATCACAAAATTCCCGAGATTAATTGTTAACAATATAAACATGATTTATAACAACAGCATTTAACAATTATTTCTTGCAATCAAAAATCGCAAACGCTTTTATTGCTTAATTTTTCAGGAACTTTTTTGTTATTTTGCGATACGATTCTCCGAATGTCCTGTATATATCGTTGTGCAGCACGAACGGATGTACGACATGTTTGCAACGATTCATCTCGTACGATGAAGCGATACGCGATGCGGAACAACACCAATACTATCGGGATTTTTTAATTATTGATCATCGCGATGGGTTTTATCCAACAAAGGAATGTCCGTGCTATTTAGTTTAACCATCGGAAGATTTCCAACCTTTTTCTTCTTTAAATCGAGATATCGCAAGTGGACGAGCGATATTATTGCATCCGGTTTTATCGATGTTATTAACAACCACGAAAGTATGGATCACCAAAAAATCCGGATTCCTCGGATTACTATTATTATTTCGCCTATATGTCGATTGCTAATAGTTTATTCGCACGTCGCTGGAACAATAGATCGAGCAATGAAACGTCGATCGTTCGCATTCGCGATTACTTTTTACAAAAATATAACACTTCGAGGAATTTAAAGAAATAAATAAAACTTGGGAATAAATTGAATCACACTGTAGAATACTCGGATTGAGTGCAAATGATGAATATTGTGTATCAGCGAGATGCTTCGGGCAAACAGATGGGTGGAGAAAAGGAGCATGGGAAGAGCGAGAGAATCCTCTCTGAACAAGCGCGCAAATTAAAGACGTCTTCCGCGTCTGTTCTCTGACTTTGGTCGAAACGGGATATTTCGTTATAAGCAATTACTGCAGCCTGTAACAGCCAGTAATTTCTGCGATTCTAGGGAAACTTTGACTGGTGTCGATTGTCTCTCACGAGAGGCACTTTGATGACGGAAGAGTAAATCGTGGCATCTTATATCGAGAGAACCTCTAAAGCGTCTTCAAATAATGTATAAAGTTAAGCTAAATTTTATACGATTGCAACATTAGAATTTTTGTCACGCACTCAATCAAATATCAATGAAATTTATCTTAGAGCAAGATGAGAAACATGTATATTTTAGAAACAGATTAGCTTATTATTATTTGTTCAATTGATGCCATTGTCATTTTATATTTATGTAAGAATAAATTTTTGAAAGATGATAAAATAAAAAAAACACATTTTAATTATTTTATTGCCAACTTTACAGCGATTTTGTAAAATAGTTTGATTCGTCGTACCGTGAAACGTTATCTGATAGCAATGTACTGAATGTATTATATCATAGATGTGTAATACTATAAATCGGAGGAAATGCACTGGATTTGTACACGCGATATAATCAAACAAGCCTAACAACGTTTAAATCTAGGAGCTTAAAATGATAATCGTGTATAAATACATACAACACAGGCGCGCACACATACAACTGTAAATACTTTTGCAGGAGAGACTGCGACTATATTGATTCTGAGATGCAAGCCTAACAAGTTTACCGGTAGTGCTCTTTCCGGCGCGATCGCTTTTGTTAATTTCATCCATATTGTTAGTGCAATGACTTCGAGTGGCCTGATACACACGCTACGATTTAGCAGTCGGCCCATAATATCGATCGCATCTATTCAGCATAATTTGTATGGGGGAGAGTGGGAAAGAAGGAGGAGGGTGATCAAAATGCAAGCAGGTAGAAGAGACGTTTGGGAAAAAACGTTTGCATTAGTGCACGAATGCAATAAAGCGACCAAAGAGAGATAAACTGTTAAATTAACCAAGTTGGAGAAATTACCTCGCAATAACGCGCATCCCGATGAAACGTGGCATATATATATGTACGTACGTACATATATACTACATCACGTCACTCTCCATTTTCGGCTATTTGCGAATTCGCATTGTAAATAAAGTTACGAACTTCATTCGTGTGACAAACTCTGCTATGCATTTCGTTAACCGACTTGACTCGAAATCCTGTCGAGGTTTTGTTTTCAAAAATTCAGCCTAACATACAATTATATCGTATGACTTTTGTTTCGAATTTTTTTTCATCTGTTATTATACAAATTTAGTTTTCTTCCGAAGTAGGATTCAGATTAGAAATCAATCTGTTCTCGGTTGATATGCGGATCGATAGAATCAAAATCATGCGACACCTATTATTTTCCCGGCTCGGAATAGTTCCATAATTCATAAAGTTTGTCTCAATACTCTCTCTCTCTCTCTCTCCTTCTCTTTTTCTTTTTCTCTCGCATAGGATCTTTATAAACGATAACTCCCTGCTTGCGTTTGCCTTCTGATCGGAATCGCGGAGCTCCGTATGTGTCACTCCGAGAGCAAGTTTGCAAATCGTCTCTTTTATCCCGGCACTCGGTGGGAGCAGATTTGCTCTCCTTTCCCATTCAAGAATCTCGTTCTTCCTTTATCACGATGCTCCTGCATACACGATCGGACGGTAGCGGGATCATTTCACATCTTTCGAATAAAACAGTTTTTTCCCCATTGTCAACATTTTCGCGATAAAGTAACACGTTTGTTTTTTTTATCTCAACTGCTTCCATTTCTTTTGGAATTTTACCGTAGTCTGCAATATATAAGCTGGAAAATCATTAGTAACTAGAGATGTTTGCTACATTAAATTGTAAGAAACTCATCTTGAGTATTTTTAAAAAAATTTTTAGTTGAAAGCAAAAAGTATGAAGAAATTTGAAAATAATTTTTACGAAAATGAATAAATAATTAAGATTTCCAATTATAATTCTTTATATTATATATGCCTTTTTATGATAGAGTCAGAAAGAATTTATTTTAAATTAATGAAATTTGCGATAGATAGATAAAATTATTCTATATCTATAGATTATCGAATAAAAAAAAGAAAAAGAATAGAAAGTATAGTTGAAGGAAAAGAAGAGACTCGCAGATTTCCTGCAAGCTTATCTCTAGATAACGTTGCTGTGGGATTCTGTTACTTTGGAACATACATTTACGAAAGATTGATGATCACACGTCTGATAAGATGATAATTTTAAACGAGCATTTTCAAAACTTTGCTTTACAAATTTAACGAAAATTTAGCAAGAATATATTAATCCACCATAATTTGGATAGAATTGAATAAACAAGAAAAAATGGACACATAAATCTCGAATCGCACTTTCAAATCGATACATTTTCTTTTTCTGAACTTTTTATAAAATTTTTAAATCATCATGTGTTGTAAATAACTTGATGGAAATCAAAAATTGTTATACGTACAAGTATATATGCATTCGATCTTTTAATTTCGCAAAAATACTAAAGTTGACTTGTCAGAAGTGCTCTTGTCTGCAAATCTGCAAATCTGCCAATTATTGCCTTATTGAATTTTCTATGAATAATTGCGAATACTTTATAAAGCGAATGTCAATGAAAACTTTGCATTTGTACAGAGTAATCGATATACGATCGAACTTATTTATTCCGATCAAGTGGATCTATATCTTACATTGAAATTATCTTTCAATGTAATCGCTCATTCATTATCTTCTATCGTTAAGGATAATCTATATTACAAATCTTGAGCTGGCTATTTAATCGAACTTCAAATTAAGCTCTGCCATAATACAGACACGTGTTAAAATTTTTAACAAGTGTTTACAACGAACATTGTTCAAGATTCGGTTTTAAAACTCGATAATTTTTGTAATTTTTAACATTTTGGCTTTTTACTTTTCAGGAATGCCAATAATGTTGTCATCTCCTTTTTACATATTACCAAGCTTAATCCGTTAATTTGTTCCCAAACATCGTTTCTTTTTAATTTATTGTAGTACTGGAAATTTTTAATAATAGTCTCTTATTTTTATAAATGTATTCATAATTAATTATAAATTTTTTATTACGGATTATTTCTTATTATCAAAAACTAATCATATAGACCAATTTATGTATATAAATGCATATGAATTAAATCAAATATTTGATTGGGCAACTATCACATTTTCTTGCGTTTTTTGCCAGCGTTTTAAGTCGGTTATTTGAAGTGAATGTAATTTGATCGTATAAAAAAAACTTTAATACAATGAAAAAATAACTTTTAATACTAACTTTTAATAGAAAGTTGCGATTCAAACGACGTATCATCAAAATGCTTACTCCATAGAGTGATTATGCGATTATTCACATAGTGGTTCACGCCAATGTTCGCAATCAATTCGAGATTTAATTCAACAAAGTGGACACGTGATCGTTTCACGATAATGTACGATTATCGACTCTGCTTTATACATACATATATATATTATTAATTGCTACCTGATTGCGTCGACATCCAGATAGTCGTCAGTCTCGAAGAGGAATCGAAGTCACGACGTACGATTCCAATCGGATTTTTCACAATTACTATGACGGAATCCAAGCAAAAATCTCAGGTTTGTCTATTTAAGAATATAATAAATATTATATATATATATATATATATATATATATATATATATGTAATCAGTAACGTATTATGTATTAATTATTATACGAGATTTCACAATTTAACAGAAAAAAACGTATTGATATGTTTAATCGCGTTTCTTATCATACTTGAGAAATTGCCTCTCGAGAAATATAAGTTGCTTATAAATTTCATTCTCTGTTCGAAGAGATATGATCTCTTTTAATATTAATAATTTGAAAATATATCTGAATTTGAATTTAATAGTCTTTATATCTGACAATGAATCAAATTTTAGTATAAACAAACATTTAATATGATTAACGTATCGATATCTTTTCGTTTAAAATGTATAAGATATAGAAAGAATTAGCACATGAAAAACACATGATAACATGATTTTAAATTCTCCATACTCATGCTAAACTGTATTTTATTCTATTTTTCCCACTTCCGATTTGCATGTATAATAAAATTTTAAATTAATACGCAATACTTTGCTAATTATATAATCTTATTTATAATTATATTTTGCGATCAGGTTAAATATGTTCATTATCATACTTTGGTCAATTTAGATTGATTCGAACATACCTCTATTTTCGTGAATATGTTAAAAGATTCGACTGTGTTAATGCACATAATTATCAAATTCTTTTTTTAATATTAACTTATGAAAATAAAATATAAATAATATAATCTAAAAATAAAATAGAAATATCTAAATAATATATTATTGTGAAATAGTTAATAAAATAATATTACTATCTATATAAAAGTATTAATTAATACGAGGACATTTTATTATAGATATTTTAAGTATATTAAAATAAAATCCAAAATCAGAGAATCATTATCGAGAAAAAAGGACAAGTAATATATATAATGATCTGAATATAAATGATATATATAAATCTAATTAATATATATAATATAGTCTGAATATAAATATAAATGATAAATAATTTATAAATTATTTATCGCATATTGTTGCTCCGTACGTTGCCCAGTGTTTTTTCAAACTTGCTTTTCCTCTCCTTTACTATTTGTTCGTTTCATTTACATTCATTCCCGAAAATAAGATTAATTAAGATTAGTTATATACGCAACAATCATAAGACACTTTGAACTCCCTCTCTCTTTCTCTCTCTCTCTCTCTCTTTCTCTTCTGTATTGTTTTCGGCTATTTATGCATAAATATTTCCTTCGTTGACATAGCGATAATCTATATAGTACAAATATAACATAGTTTCCGTATGTTATTGGCAGGTTTCGCTCGAACTTGGCGGCGCTTTGGTAGAACATCCAGATGGGTCGAAGCGAGGTAGTTGGTCCAACCAGATCGAATTTCTTCTCTCCTGTATCGGGTACGCCGTTGGCATCGGCAATGTTTGGCGTTTTCCTCACCTCCTATATAGCAATGGCGGCGGTACGTACATATGCGCATGTAACCGTGCTCGCACCCGATGTATCTGTCTCACGGTGTACATGGAAAATATGTATTTCTGAAAGTACATGGAAAATATGTATTTCTGAAAGAGAGAGAAGAAGAAGAAAAAGAAAAGACAAAGCCCATCGAATTACAGCGTCTTAAGCTATAACTGTCAAACTGTGTTAGTGTGTTTTATAAGTAACAATAAATAGAAAAAATGATACATATTAACACTTATAACTTATATGACTATTATAATTATAAAAGTTTTATTAAATTAAACAAAATTATTAATATTAACAAAAAAATTATTAATATTAACAAAAATAAATATCAAAAAGGGAGACTTCTATTTCTTATAAATTTTCTTTCTTCTATATATCGATATATCGATATATCGAATATATTTGTATCTAATATATTTATTCTTGGAATGTGTTCAATAAAGCATTTTGATCTTATGTTTACATAATGTCTTTCTCTTGTTTTTATTTACTTATGAAACACGTTAGCACAGTTTAGCCGTTAAAAGCTTGAAATACCCCGTACATCACTGGGATGCAATATCTGTGTTCTTATATAAGGCGTCGAAAAATTATTAGCACAAACTTTGAAAAGCTGATGCACAAACTTTGAGATTGCGTTGCAGATTTAAAAATAAGAAAAGTAGTTGCCATGTAAACAAAGATCTGAAGACATTTTTTCCGGAAGTAATTCCGGAAGTGATTCAAGATGACAACTTTTTAATTAATTATTAAAATTTTTTAAATATAAATTATTAAATTTTTTTAATAACTCTCTCTTTTTCGTTTTCTTTCTCTCTCTCTCTCTCTGTGAACTAATTCCTCCTATATGTAAGACACAAGTCCGATTCTCTAAAATATTTTTTGAAACGGTTAAATGAACATTATGGCTTAAATAATATGTATCAAAATAATTTCATTTAAGATAGTTTTATTTTAGGTAAAATTGTAATTAAATTATTATTATTATTATTATTATTATTATTATTATTATTATTATATTGTTATATTATTTTTTATTATTATTATTATTATTATTATTATTATTATTATTATTATTATAGGCGCCTTTTTGATACCTTTCATTCTCATGCTGTTTACAATGGGTCTGCCTATATTCTTTTTGGAACTTTGTATTGGTCAATATACTGGATTGGGACCCATAAAATCTTTTAGCCGCATGACACCAGCATTTCATGGTGTAGGTTATTGCACGTTGGTCGTCATTTTGCTTGTGTTGGTATACTATATGGTAATCATCGCATGGACTTTATTCTACACCTTCGCTTCTTTCTCTCAAAAACTCGCCTGGGCGTACTGCGATAACGATTTTAACACTAACGGTAAGTAAAAGTTAACCGTTATCTGCTGATGAAGATTTTAGATTTTTGTCATTTTATTGAAACGGGCAAATATTTAATTGAACTTTAACAGATGCGTAGTTAACTATTATTCATGATTAATTTAGCTATTTGATTTTTGTAACATTACTAATAATGTTATTATATATAACTTTCGATATTTACATCATTTATTTGAAGTTATCACAAAAATGCGTTTGGCTTAGTAAAATGTCAAAACATTTTTACATATAAGTTGATTTTGTGCCTAAAAATTTGCAATTTATTCGATTAAGATACTATCATCACATTGCTTTTAGTGTATATAATCGTATTAAATACGTTAAATAATTTTTTTCTCTATAAAAATATTGTGTAATAATGATAAATGACATTACATAAAGTATTTTACGTAAAATAATATGACAAAAAATATTTATGATTTGTTTTATTATTTAATTTGTATGTGCTTACATTATAAGATAATATGTTATTGGTAAAATAAGATTATTAATTAACATTATTTAATAATATGGACTCCAACTTGCAGTCTGGTTAAGTGATTGTAGCAAATCTTTAAAGAAGATATTATATCGATGATAGGAGAAAAGAGAACAGTGGTCATTGTACTATGACCTGTTCGTTCACGATGCATCTAACACTAATATGTCAACGTCGACAGATTGTTATAGCGGTCTCGAGGATATAACATGCCAGAAGAACACTAATTCAAACTCTATATTTTACAACAAAAGTTGCATGGCCATCGACGCGGTCTGTTCGCATTTTGGTTACTTCGGCGGCAATACCACTCACTGTTTCGAAAACAGTAGCGAGGCAAAGGCTTTCGGTGATATCTACAATCGGACACTGTCATCCGAAGAATACTTCAGGTACGATATAAGTTGTCACCAGCGCTGCATCGTGTCGGGAGGATCGGGAACGAGCCTTACGTCGCTGTTCAGCGTTGAGGAACGAGACAAAATTTGTTCAAGATCGCGCTTGCAAAGCGTGTAATTGTCGATTGCGTTCAGAGACTACGTTCTTGGTATACGTGGTGCCACATGGGAAAACTTTGGTGGCATACGATGGGAATTGTTCGGATACCTCACTTTAGCTTGGCTAGTGTGCTTCCTGTGTCTAGTACGTGGCATCCAGACCATCGGCAAGGTTGTTTACTTTACCGCCCTTTTTCCCTACGTTATTCTTACAGCTCTGTTAATACGAGGTAAGAAACAGAAACAGAAAAGTTTTTCTATAACGGTAGAGAGATTCATTGGAATTTAATCCATTAACGGCTAACTTCTTAGTATTTATGAATAAAATTATTTTTTGATATATATATGTAAAATCTTTCCTCTTATTAAAGCTTTGAAAATGAGAATTATCTATTTAATTAATTTAATATATATTAATTTGAAACCTTTCTAGAAAATGAAAATAATTGATTAAAATTATCTATATTATATATAATTACGACTGTACTTTAATATATTAATATATTAATTACATTAGTACAAGCTACTTGAAAGATGTGTTGTATATATGCTTATCGAATATATATAATTTTTACTCTAAAATTAAGAATGTGCCAAGGATTATATTTATTATATTAGTGATTATAGGAAAACATCTTGCTTTTTTTATCATAGAAATTAAAATAAATTAAAGTAAGTAAAAAAAGTTTTAAACAGAAACAACAATAATAATAACAATTATAATAACTAACTCCTACGTATTAATTAGTCTCGAAGTTTTATTTTTTGGTTAACTGGGAACTACATATCGAATGATTAGATATGAATTGGATTGTTATTGATTTGACCTACGTCATTGATTAGAATATCTTCGCTTGGTTTAACTTTTTCAAGCATCTCTCTCCGTAAGCTTTTTCGCATCCGTTCATACAGTGGAACTTCTGTATACGGATCATGCGATAATAGCACCCTAGCGTGAGAAATCGGATAATTTTATCATGAATGTGACTGAGAGGAAGATATTCGCACAGGTGTTACGTTAGACGGCGCCGATGAAGGTGTTTTGTGGTACATCATGCCCAACTTTTCAACGTTGAAAGACGCCAAGATTTGGGCGGACGCTGCCTCTCAAATCTTTTATTCACTCGGTATCGGCTGCGGATCTCTAGTCACCCTCGCGAGTTACAGCAACTTCAGCAACAATTGTCACAGGTGCGATTATATTAAAATAATATTATTTACTTACATCTGTAATAATAGAAAAAATCTAGAATACAAAAAATAGTATTATATACATTCACTTTATAAATACATTTACGAATCCGATCGCACGAATAATTTATCGCAAAACGTAAATATTAATTAGTTACATTGACTAAGCACTGTGAGTATTTATAAATTTCCGCAGCACATTTCAGACATTTCAATTTTTTTGTGATATTCGTTCCTTTTTTTGTTTTAACTCCAAATTTAATGACGTCGTTTAAGGAGAAGATAAATTGTTCGTCACGATCAACCGATATAACATCAAAATTAACTCAAGTATAAGGATAATAATAGTAAATTAAAAGTGATTGATTAAATAATCAAATATTACTATAATAATTTGATTATTAATTTGATTATTAAGAGCGATATACGAGTAACATAATAATGGCATAATAATTTCTAGGTAGGTAGTGAATAATCTTCTGCATATCAAATTTTAAATTTTAATATTCTGTAACAATGCAGGTTACTTTTTAATTGCGTTTAATAAATACATATAGCATATTCTATATTTAAGAACAAGCAGAATAAAATAAACATGTACACATTTCTTTTACACACACACACACACACATAAAAGGGGATGGAGAGGTAAAAGAAAATGAGGGATAAAACCTTAGGATTTTGTTGAAGATCAGAGAAACAGAAAAAGATTGGATACAATAATTGGTTAGAAGAATCTTTTATTTTTATTTGAGAGAGAGAGAGAGATGAAAGTGTTTTTCTCAAAACAACACAATGTTTTTGTTTAGCTTTCCTTTGTTCTAATGTAGTTCATTCCTGAGGTTTATCCAAGTATTTTATTAACATCCTCTGTACGCCCTTTGTCGAGTGCATGATAATTTGATTCTTGGCTCTCCTATTGTCACATACAGGGACGCTATTTTTGTCACTTTTACGAATCTATTCACATCCGTTTACGCTGGCTTCGCAATATTCTCGATACTCGGATTCCTGGCCCGACAAATGCAAATGCCAATCGACAAGGTGGTTCAGGGCGCAGAGGGATTGGCTTTTATCGCTTATCCAGAGGCAGTGGTGCAAATGCCGTTGCCGAATCTCTGGGCCATTCTATTCTTCTTCATGCTCTTCATACTCGGCCTCGGTAGTCAGGTAAGTAGGCGAGCGATTTTACATCACCAGCATCACATCATTTAATCCTGCGAGCCTGAAAGCGCTGCGGCGGCGATAAACGGAAGTGAAAAAATATTATCTCATAAACGTTTAAGGAAGCTATATAAGAAAGTATTATTTCCATTTTCGCAAGGAAAACCGAGAGGAGATACTCCGCCTCCTCTCTACTCCCGCACTCCTCGTCACTTACGATGATGAGAAAAATAATTATTAGTGCGATGAAGCGAGTGGAGACGGGAGAGACAGGAAGCAAGGAACGAGAGATGTAAATTTCAATTTTCCTTCGCGTAACGAGAAACTTCGCTGCGCTAACTGCGTTTGTTCCAAGTCGTGTATATTCGTAAAATAGGTCGACTCATATACATATACTCTCGCCTCCTCTGGTTATTCGAAATAATTTAACTGTGTATATAATAAACAAAGCAAAATACGTACGATATTGTAGAGTAATCATACGATTCGAATTTCTAGCGACAGTCCAGAATTTGAATAATATTCATAATATTCATGTTATCTCAATCAATAAAAGTACATTTCAATTGCAACCAAGAAAGAAATATTTGCAATTTACATATATTTGCTATTTGTATATATATGTATTATTTGTATATATTTGTATATTGTATCTTTGTCTTTTTTACAATTTTGTTAATGTGTATAAAAAATGCTTTATATAAAATTTTGTAGAAAACATGTTTTATATTATATTATATTATGCTTATTATTGCTGTTATGCTTTGCATAATAATTAATATAAATTTTATTCCACTATTTATTACATATAAAAAGGCATTTTATACTTCGGAAATACAGAATTTGTATCATAATAGATTAAAGGATTGTAGAATTGTATCAATTTTCATGCTTTTATTCACCATAAAATATTAATCTGATATATCTGATTTTTGTTATGTTTGTATTTCCGATTTAATGATGTAACGATATCCTATTGTATCAATACAGCATTGTAGTTTAAATCGAAATCAAATTATTTTGACTTGATTAATTTTATCACATATTATATCATACATATTATTATTTTATAATACCTATAAAATATCGCGATATTTTATTCTATAATAAACAATTTGACAAAGCTATAAAAATCGCTCAATGAAAACGCTTCTTTTATCGTTTGTGCTGATTTCTTTAGATACGTAATAAATCGATTTCTCTATGCACAGCTCTGCAAATAGATTTTGACAGTTATAATGCAGGCATTAACAAGTTACGTAATACAGACTCACGGGAAATATTGATCATCATAATAGCTTCTCCGTTACTTATCGACGAGGTTATTTCACGAAGATTTCACGAACCACCCTGCTAAGAAAGCACTATTCAAACGTCTTGAGAAACGACTGGCGTATTTGTCAAACGATGCCGCAGGCAAGAGGGATGCGTCTCTCGCTTTTGCGAATGACTAGCCTGAGCGGCGATCGTTTCGTGTTGCTTTTGCATCACAAAACTCTCGTCGTTCTCAGAAGTTCATATATCATAGAAGAAATTATAGCTCACCGTCTCAAAGTAAAATCTACATCTTCTCTTTTCTTTCCTTCATCAGTTGAAGTCTTTTCGAGTTTTTTAACGAGTTTTTTAACAAATCATTTATGATTCGTTATGATTCTATTCGATATGATTCTGTATGATGATGATTTTTCTGTATGATTCGTTATGATTCTATTCGATATGATTCTGTAAAATAATCACGAACGAGTAAAAAACCGCAAACATGCGATTTCTATCTTATATTTATATCATATAATCGAAAATATCTTTCTTATAATGATGATTGATATTATTAAAAGTAACTTTAGCTTTTTTTCTACATATATAAATGTACATATATTTAGTTGACTAAAAAGGTCTTACCAATTTTTTTAAATCTCAAACACAAGTTAGACATTTTTAAATTCTTTTCCAAGAGAATTTTGTACAGACTGGAATAATCTGATGATGCAAAATTCAAAGAATATAGCGAACAAAACAAGACATTTCAAGTTCCAAGATTTTTTATAATTTAAAGAATATGCTTAAAGAATATGATTAAAGAATATGCCGAAAATACATCTTATTCTATTTCATATTGAGATTTGTCAAACATGATAAACACCATCAATCTTAAAAATTTTTTATCAATGACTCGTGTTGCAAATGCCTACTTTTAAGTTATGTAATTGTGTATTAAGTTCTTATTTTATTTGAAAAACAAGATGACTTTTCAACTAACTCAATACATGTATATTAATGTGCATTTATGCCTTCACATCTAAAGATAAAATCATTTTTGTATCAAATAATCGCATTTATAAATAAAGCTAATCCGCTAATCTCTATAAATTATGTAATATATTACATAATATTTTCATTTTACATTGGTAACTAAAATTAATTACACTTAAATGCATTTTCTAACAAAGCATTATTTGTTAATATTGAAAAAAACAATTTATTATTATATAATTTTTTTAATTAGTTGCGTTTTTTTATTTTATTTTTTTCTAAATTTTATTTTTTCTAAATTTTCGGTTTATTATTGATCAATTAATTAACTATCAATATGATAGGCAACAACTTAAAATTTTACATTCTTTATATACTGATATTCTAATATACATTTAAAGAGTAAAAATTTGTGAAAAATATTGTAGAAAATATAGTATAACTCTATCGTATATATATAATCACAGTTATTTTTCATTTCAAAATATTAAAACAAACCGATGGAGTTACAGAGAGATTGAGCCGACTACATATATAACTTTGAAATAAATGTAGTAGCAAAACTTTATACAATATGCTACAATATAACAGTAAGAAATATTCCAATTATTGTTTTTTTGATAAATTAAATATATCTTCCAAAGCCAAATATGCGACGTTCAGTTTTCTTTTAACGTGAAAATCTGATAATTTTCAAAATTGAATAATTGGAACACAATTCTAATTAGAAAACGAAGAGTAGATAAATATAATAGATAAAAAGGAAATAAAAAGGAAAAAAGTAATGCATAAGAAAAAGATAGACACGAAAAAAGAAAAATCTTTTCAGTCATTCACTTTTTACGATACAGTTTGCAGGCGTACAAGCAATAAATACTGCCATACTAGACAGACGTCCAGATTTGCGAAAATATGAAAGCCTTGTGATATTGGGAGTATGCGTTACCTGCTGGCTTCTAGCGATTCCGATGGTGTTCGACGGCGGTATCTACTTGTTCAAACTGATGGACTGGCATACCGCCTCATGGGCGATCCTATTGATCGGCTTCGCCGAAATCGTTGCACCTTGCTGGTTCTATGGATGCAACAAATTCCTAAGTAACATTGCTGAAATGAAAATAACATTTGGTTATTTTCTTCATGGCTATTGGTGGTTATGCTGGGTAATCCTCGCACCTCTCACTTGCCTGGTAAGTACCTATTTTCTTACTACAATCATTTCGATGCCTGTTTAACTCTTTTGTTACCGGTCATATGCATATAGAAGCTACAAGATATTTGCTGCAGTCAGAGAGAGCTCAGTTAAAAATATACAAAAATATAAAGGTTTCAAAGTAGTAGTAATTGGATAGGATCTTGTTATTTTAATGTTGTAATTTTTAAAGTTTTAATTACCGGCAATAATAGTGCTAAATTAATTATATCTTGAATATATAGTTGAAATTTTTTGCTATAATTTGAATATATATACCGGGTGTTTCAGACCACCCGTACACCCCATTTTAAAGCAAAGGAAGTGATTATTTTGAAAAATGTTTCAGACAAAAGTTGTTGAAGATAAAGTAATGCATTACATGGGTAAATTTGATTGACCTTGGGTGGCGTCGTGAAGGTCATGTCAAGGTCGACTTGAATTTTTTAAATGGGAACCCCTATTTTTCATTGCATATTCTTGTAGCTTATCTTGAGAGCTTTCCAAAACACTATAATTAAGTACCTTTTTATTAAGTACTTTTTGAGTTATAAGGCTTGAAATAATTTCTTAATTTTATATAAACCATAAAATATCTAGTAAACCATTCATTTTTCGATTATCTTACCTTCATACTTTTATGTACAAAATAATGAGAGGAATCAATTGGTGTAAAGAAAACACATAGTTGTTTCTAAGAAAAAATATGGAATTGTTAATTGCAAATTACATATTTTTTCTTAGAAACAACTATGTGTTTTCTTTACACCAATTGATTCCTCTCATTATTTTGTACATAAAAGTATGAAGGTAAGATAATCGAAAAATGAATGGTTTACTAGATATTTTATGGTTTATGTAAAATTAAGAAATTATTTCAAGCCTTATAACTCAAAAAGTACTTAATAAAAAGGTACTTAATTATAGTGTTTTGGAAAGCTCTCGAGATAAGCTACAAGAATATGCAATGAAAAATAGGGGTTCCCATTTAAAAAATTCAAGTCGACCTTGACATGACCTTCACGACGCCACCCAAGGTCAATCAAATTTACCCATGTAATGCATTACTTTATCTTCAACAACTTTTGTCTGAAACATTTTTCAAAATAACCACTTCCTTTGCTTTAAAATGGGGTGTACGGGTGGTCTGAAACACCCGGTATAAATAACATTATTAACGATTTAATTTATTATGTATTTCATTTGTACTATATAAATATGGAAATACGTACATATGTATACATATATGTATTTATCGATAAAACATTATTAATCAGGATATAAATATCCTGCTATTTTTATATTTTAAATAAAAAACGTTAAGTAAATCTACATTTATTGCTGTATGATAATTAGAGATTACAGACATTTTTTCAAAATTTCTCCGAACGATTGATAATTTACAATAAAAATTTCTGCAGCTAACATAAATCATTTTGTGCCGCTTCAATTTGCTATTGTTATTGAAATAAGTTTCTCTTTTACACGCGCGCCCGCGCGCGTTCGCGACTAAATTGCGCGACAATCAAAACTTTAATGACAGCTCCAATGTATATAATTGCTAAACGGTACAATCGACGGTAGTAACGAGGGGAAGACGCGGCATCACGATGCTTAATCCCGTCGAGGTAAGGAGCCCACGTTTATTAACTGTAAACTTTGCAGCAAGTTCGGCGACACAGCGAGAGAATATACCGTAAATTAGTTTCGACCACCGCATAGAGACGATTAATCGAATTTATATGGAAAGTAGAAATTTAAGCTTAGATCATTGATTGCTGTGAAAGAACTCCAAATAATATATATGAAAAAAGCTTCCGATGAAAAAAGAATGAAAGAAACAAAGAAAGAAATAGTCTTAAAATTTTGTTTTATAAATTTTATAGGAAATATTTTATAATAAATCTAAAATAGTTTAAGAATTTATTGGAAAAATTATTGTGTGAAAATTATCGTGTAAATATACATTTTTTTACAAATAATTATAAAACTACGAAAAATTAAAGTGAATTAAAATATGATAAATCATTCACATGTAATAAGCGGTTTCGTAAGAGATTAGATTTTTATACAAGCCTAAAAATAACAGTACAATCAATAAGGGAATAATATGTGTCAAAATAATTCGAAAATATACATTTTTTCGTATAAGACTTTGTTTTCAAAAAAATTGATTGAGAAGTTTGAAAAATTAATATAACATATTTACACTCTCTTTTTTGATTAACGTTTTTTATTATATATCGTCGATTTATTTCCATTGTTAATATTACAGAAATATGTATAAAAGTACATTTTATTAAAAAAATTTAAAGCAATTTAAATTGAAAATAAAAATCATATAAGTTATATTTTTCAATAAAGAGATATGAGAATTATATAGATATTTTAATAATTATTATCAAGATAATAATATAATTAAAATTTAAATATTTACTTATTTTCAAATTTTTAATTTTTTTAAAAACAAAGTTTTGTATAAAAAAATTTTATTCTACTTTTTAATTTACTTTTATACATATAAGAACTTTTTATTTTCCTTTTTTTCAGTTAAATTGTTTTCTGATTCATTCTATGTATACAAGATACATTGGAAATTATGGTTCAAATAAAATGATTTCTCGTGCAAATTTAAATCAAAAATGTAGAACATTTTTTTTTACACCCACGGTTTTATTTACGATAAAATCAATGTCGAATCTTACGTATCTTATATTTATTTGAAAATATAATCTAAGATTTAAATGAAGAATTGTATAAATTGCTTTTTACCGATAAACAATTTGTACCTATATTAATGTGGATTAAAAAAGAGATAGAGAATTTTTATAGAGAATACATCAGAGATAGGAATATATATAAATAATCTGAAATGTATATAAATAAAAAAAATACGGTTACAATTATATCGATTCTTTTTATCTGATTCTATCTGAACTTTTTAAATAGATTATTAAAACTTTGGACTGGCAAAACTCGCCATTCGGTGTCTGGCTTCGCTGTTCGCGTCCCTAGGAGGTAAAGTGTCGTATTTCCCACGACTAGTCTGCTTAATTAATCCGGCTACCTGTCGCGAGGCACGCCCTTGCCTCCGCAACCCTGCTCGCGTGCCGAGCGAATTTTTATTTATAACGGCTGAATTTCGCCGATGCCATCGCGGGGATTGAAAATATTTCCCTCGATGGGCGGCGAACTAGTGACCTGCGAAAGTTAGTTTTGATTAAAAATTCGAAATCTCCCTTAATTGATAATTGTGTCACGCATACGCGCTGTTTTTCGAAGCTTTACATACGGGACTAACGGCGACCGACTAACCAACCGCGCTTTGCTTTTTATTCACAGGGGGTTTTTGGATATCAACTACAACAAACCGACTTCCGAGGAAGTTACGGCACGTATATATTTCCCGACTGGGCAGGCGTAATTGGAATTGGAATCGGATTGGCAACGTTGGTGCCACTGCCAGTCTTCTTCTTTGTACAAGCCTGTAAGGCCGAGGTGAGACAGTTATTTACGCACAAAAGAAGGATTAGCTTGCGATTTAACAATTTTTGCGTTTTTCAAGATTCTCGGATATAACGGTCCTGACAGTGTAAACAAATTATTTTGAAAAGCAGGCGACTTTTTGTTGTTCCATGACATACCATACATTCCAGTCTATTGATGTTTTACGAGCTGTATGCTTTTACTCGTCCTCAATTTTCTCTTAACTAGAAATCTGTTTTTCCAAAGCGTATCTCGAATATTATTGAAATCACATTTTCGAAAGAAGCACGAGACTAATTCGTTTTTCATCTATCGATTTATTTTTTATTTATCGATGTATATGTTTAGCTGACTCCTTTTTTTACATCTATGTCTCTTTTGCATATATGTCTGTCATTATTTATAACTAATTTATTGTATAATTTTTTTCCTGATAACTAGAAAATGAAATCGAAACGTTCATTATTTATATTTATTACTGTAAAATTTCTGTATGTATAATTCAACGACGTACCAATTACCCCGCCTTGGTTCTTATTCTGATTATTTTTTTAAATATAATTTATATCGTGGAAACCCATTTTTCTTTCTTTGTTGAAATCTGTCATGCTTACTTGCTGTACGGAAATTTATCATCTGCTTTTACTGCTTTTATTTTTGGAATTTCTCGCCTGATGAATATTTCTCGCTCACCTGCTACAACATATCACTATTTTTCAGCTATATTCTATATCAATATTTTCTTATTAATGAGATATTTTTATCCGATATAATGAATATAATTATATACTTTTAATGATTTATACTTGTAATTCTTTAAATGACTCCACATTAATACCTGATTTATTTTTATTTAAATATCGTTTGTTTTCAAATTACTCTAGTACCAGTGTGCACAATGCTTTGTTCTAATAATTATATCTGTCTCTAATATTTTTGTATATCTAAGAGATTAATTCTAGTTCTCTATCTCCTACTAATATAACTTAAAATAAATTATCTATTTATCTATCCAACTAGTCGATCAAAGATTAATTCGAAAGTATTCATATATTTACTAAATCGTTCCATATATTAAACGAATTATTTAATTTTAAGTTTATTGAATATTTTTTTGTAAAATTCTAGTCATTAAACATAAAATGTAAATACATTATATTCTTTAAAATAAGAAAAATATAAAGAGCTTCGAAAAATGTCGAAATTATCATTTTGTTTTCCAACAGTTTTGTATAAAATTCTAATCATTAAGATAAAAATAAAACATAAATACATTATATTCTTTAAAATAAGAAAAATACATAAGGAGCCTTGAAAAATGTTTTGCAAAATAATTGTTTCGTTTTCCAATGGTTTAAATGCGACATGCTGTGCATTGAAATGTTAAGAATACCTCACTTTCTGCGAAAAATATACTTTTCTGAAAAGAATGTATGAAACAGGTAAAAACCAAGTTTTCGGAGAAAAGTTTGAACTTTCGAAAATTTCTTAATAGCCAGAATTCTTTTTGTTGCTTAATGACTTACTGGTTGGCATTCTTTCAGAATGAGAGATTATTGTATTAAGGAGAAACGCGCGGCAATCTGGTCATTAATTTTCACTAATGGAGAAAGTGGAAACAATTACGAAATCACTTAATGGTTTTGACCAAGTCGGTCTCATTCTTTGTACGTTCAATTAATCAAACGTGAATCAAAACTTTTGCCATTACACGCACCATGCGTCCGCTAGCTGCGTATGACGTAAAAAAAAAATTCCTGTCTGCGCAGAGCAAAAACATATATGTTAACCATATTGTAGCGTTATTACATTATTACATGACATTATTATTTCCGCTGTCTCTCGATTAGAGCGCAAATCTCTCGATAGCTACTAGCTACGTCACGCTGTCAGCGCGGCGGTGGTTACGGACCGATTTAGAAGTTGCCCCGGCCCGTGCCGTAAAATCTCGAAAACTCGGGAAACGTCTTAATACAAGTTTTTCTACGGTACGTAGGTAATCGTACTTTGAAACGAAAAGTTTCCCCGGAAGCCTGCTGGCTCTTTCCATCGCTTCGGATACAGGGCCGCCGCAAGCGGAATGCGCAAATCGTGCGACATACAAAGGAATCACCGTACACAAAGAGATGTTGCGAATTTTGACAAAATTGAAACTGTACAAAATAGTGACATTTGTTTTAAAAAAATCACTTTGCAGGATTGAATTTTTTAAATTAAATTCAAGAGATCCACTACATATGTTTAAATTTTTTTACAGACAAATAATATTTGTATTACTCGTTACACATATTTCGCAGACACACAAATATGAACATCATAATTTATTTTTCCCGCATTCTTATAATTTCTGACTGTCATTTGCTGTTTAAAAATATTAGCTATTTTTTTCCTTTTTCTTAGAAAAGCACTAAATGAAATTTTACATAAAATGTTAACAGCGGCCCTGTCTGAACCGTACCTATTTCTATAGAGAGAGAAAGAGGAAAAGAAAGAGAGAGAAAGAGAGAGAGAAAGAAAAAGACAGCTCTATTCCTTGACCGCTTCCGCTTTCTGTTAGCCGATAAATTTAACATTACTCTTATCTCCCTTTCTCTACGTTGTTTTTTTGGCCATTCCACACACACTTCGAAAGTACTTGTGCGGTTTTGCGCGAGAAGATATGATTTTGCGCTGATGGCACGTATCTCGCCCATTATCGGTTCCGCAACAATTTAATTTGCACCCTTTTAAATGTTTTCAGAGCTTGAGAGCTTTATTTCAACCCTCGCCGTTATGGAAAGCGGCCGAACAAAGCAATATACTAGATAATGACAGCGTCAGCACTGCGGTGATCAATCCGACGTACATTTCCTCAGATAAAGATTAGAACTCTTGTACAAACACACAATAGATAAATTCGAATAGATAACTCAGATAAATTTCTAAAAATAATTTCCTAATGTAAGCCGAAATACATAATTTCAAATGCAAAAAAATTTTAATATGTGAAAATATTAACGGAATCAATCTAAATATTTTATGTTATTAATAGATCAGTACATTCTTTTATTTTTGTAACATATTCAAATTGACTATCTCTTTTTAACTGAAATATAAATTTCAATAATGAAAAATATCTATATTGAAAGATCATTGTATTAAAATTATTCAAAAATTATCATTATAAAAAAAAAGTTATAACATAAAAGAATTTGCGATAAAATAGATATTTATATATGATTTTTTTATCATGTTTATTTTAGTTAAGTTTCTTGTTTGAAGTTCTTCTTCGAATGTTACAAGAGTACGCAATACATCAAGTTTTGAAAGCTCTTTTCTTTAGACAACTTTGAAATAAACATACAAATTTAATTTATTATTATTCATGTAGTGTTAAACAGAATATTGGCATTAATTCGATAATAGAATGAAGACGTCGGCAGAGAAAATAAAAAACAAAAATGTTATATCAAAATAATATAATGTGGAGTAAAAATAATGTAATTAATAAATCTAACGTTCCCAGAACAAGTGTTTAATTTCTAGTCTTATTTTTAAGTATATATATATATATATATATATATATATATATATATAACTATCTTCACATTTCATATAAAACTCTTAATTGAGTATATTAATATATATATATATATATATATATATATACATATATATATTAATATACTTAATAATATATATGTATATGTGTATAATATAAATTTGATTTTTCTAAAAAATTTACAGACATACGTATGTGTGCGCACGATCACGTATGTATATATATAAACATATCATATGTTATATATTTTATGTCACAATATGTCAAAATAAGTTGAGGAAAATGTCATAAGTTATTGATTTTTTGAATGATTTTATTTGCCTTAATAATTGTATGTAATTGTATATAATACAGAAGAATAAATGTATGTAAGAAAAATTATATAATTCTATTTAAAAAAAATGAAGATTATCTTTATATATCAGTAATGCTTTCATTTAAAATAAAATTATGTTGCTCACACAAATTACCTTCCTCATAGCTCTATAACTTTATCTGACCTTTTTTTCAGTATCGTTAATTTTCAAACAATTCGCTGGGGCATTTAAAATGGGACACAGTGTACACATTCACACACACATAACATAACACATACAGTGAACCAAGCTTTATGCCAAGTACTCAGCCAACAGATCGTACAACACACAGCAATTAGTTTTTAAATCTCACTCACATTACGCACTCATATACAATATATAATACATACATATATAACTTTATATAATAAGTGCTTATCACAGTGCGTGCGTACAAGGAAAATATAAAATTAGAACAATAAAATCAAATAAAATAAAAAATGCCTTATTTAGTGATAATAATAGCGAAAACTATCATAAAATCTAAAAAAATATATATTCTTGAAATTTATAATTAATCTTATAATATCACAAAAATTCATAAAGAAAAAAATACGTATATAATTCATGGATTTCATAAAAAAGAAAGATAATTTTTGACGAATTTTCTGTACAATAAATTTCCAATGCCCATTATCCCGCATTGTTTTTTTTGGATATTGGAATTATAATGTCGAAAGATATTTGGACGATAGTAGATATATCATTATTATCCTTTAATAATATTAGTGTGAAAGTTTTTTTCCGAAACACTTGACCAATAAATTACAGAACACATGGTACCTTTAAATTTCATTTTTTATCGCGCACACTTATCCGTTTGCTTCGTGCCCATATTCGATCGCAAGTCGATTAAATTAATCGAGTTGACCTGAGAATCGATAGAATCAAATTTTACTTCGAGATTGTGTTAGTTTTTTGCCAGACTGAAAGCCATTGTGCAACAATGACGATTTTTATCGCTATATATTTCTTTTGCAAGAATACCATCTACTATCTAAACCGAAGAGATCAGATAATTATTGGTTGGGAATAATGGATAGATAGGGAAGAACAATTACGTTGCTATACGAAAAACGTAAAATGTTCTCATCGATAACAAACGAGTTTCATTATACGGAAAATGCGCTAATAGCGCGTTTCCGACATTTTATTCAGCTACATTTATTGTTTGGAAATTGATGTTAACTGTTTTTAAAGTTTATTTCTCTTTTCAAGTTGAGTTATACTCGTATGTAAGTCAAAATGCAGCCAATATTAATTCTTTGTATACAATTGTATATGTACAATAGTTTTCTTTGACTGTTTTTCAAACAAAGCAAGATTGAAAAGAATCCTTTAATTGAAAGAATTCTTTAAATATAACATAAATAAATAAAAAAATATAACACATACACACACACACACACACACACACACATGATACACACACACACACATATACATATATATGTGTCTCTTATTCCCTCATTCTCCTAGTTTTCCTTCATTTTATTATATTTATTATTTTATTACCTTTATTATATTAAACTTTTAATTATTTTTAATTATTCCTCTTATTCTTTTTCACGTACAGATAGAGATAATACAGGAGAAATAAAACATATATAAACTTTTTTTTCGGATAGATATATAGAATTAGTTGAGGCAGAATATATATTTATAATCTATATAAATATTTATTAGTATTTTAAAGATGTAAACTAATGTACGATTTATTTTCAATAAAATGCTATATATTCAACATCAATTTTAAGTCATTTTACACATCACGGAAGTTTACAGATGATTCTTTTTGCGAACTTTGCAACACCAGACACGGGACCGGACTGGAAACGAGCTCACCTCTCTCACAACAAATGCAGGCATAATGGAATTATATGGATCCGTAGAGCGAATTTAAATTTTCAAGCGTAGTGCTATGCACGCGCGGGCGCGTATCTGGGTATTTGGATCTGTTTTATAATCCGTGATATTAAAGTCACCGTAGCGCATTTGCATTCTCTTACTCGCGTACTTTCGCTTCCGGTAATTTTTGGCCGGAACGAAGAATAGAGGCATGATGAGTGAAACGGAAATTGATGAAAATGTGCTTTCCGTCCGAGCGTTGCCAATTGTTATCGCGAAAAGATACACGGGACGTTTTCTGCCCTGTTTTGTCCACCAGGAATACGAGTATCACAAAAGTACTTAACGTAGGATCGATAAGAGGCAATGCGCCAATGCCATGACGAACCGATAGTGATTCCACTCGCCACCTCTGTTTATTACTCGTGATTCTTTTAATACCATCATAGCAAACTTGGCTCCAATATACTGTAAAGTATTCTTGCGCGTTTCCAATGTAACAACGGCTATACTTCGGCAATGCAATTTAACAGATAATCAAAGGATTATTGAAAAAATGTAGTCGACCAAACTAGCCAGAAATTTAGTTTAATATTACGACGTTTCGACCATATGGTTGTAGTCCTTATCAAGTACATACGAAGCCATAAATCAAGAGACCGGCATAGACGATGATCTTATAAATTGCACAAATCACAAAAAAAAAAAAAAAAAAACGTTATTTATTAAAAGATTTAAATTAGAGAGAAATTGATGTGTCCGTGAGAGACATCGTCTCTCGACGTAACGTCGTAATAATAAACTAAATTTCTGGCTAGTTTGGTCGACTACATTTTTTCAATAATCCTTTGATTATTCGACTAGCGATATTAAGATATTTATTAATTAACAGATAATCTTAAATTACTTAAACCTTCAAGTTTTTCTAAAATCTTCTTTAGCACAAATCCCTGTTAAATCTTTATAGAATTTTATATGGAATTTTATATTCATTAGTAATATACGAGGGTGGTTTGAAAAGTCCGTACAAAAAATGAAAACTACTTCGGGATAAATCTTTTTTTATTTTTCAACGTAGTTTCCTTTTAGGCTTATACACTTTGTCCAACGCTGCTCCAGTTTGTTGATCCCTTCCGAATAATAGGATTGGTCCAACTCTGCAAAATAGGCATTCGTTTCCGCAATCGCCTCCTCATTTGAATAAAATCTCTTTTCCATTTCTTCATATTGAGGACCAAATAGTAATCCGAGGGAGCCAAATCTGGAGAATAGGGGGAATGCAAAACTAATTGGAACCTTAACTTCATTAATTTTGCGGCCAAATTCTCTTTCATCCATTTTCTAGAAATCACTCGACTTTTTCGATTCAAACAATCGCCAAACACAGAGAAATAGATCGATTTGGTTGAAACTTGGCATGTGCTCTTCCAAGAGATACTATTAATCTCGATACATATCAATGGTGCCATCTCTCTGACTTTGCACAGACTTTTCAAACCACCCCTACAGAGATATATTTATTAGTAATTTAATATATTATCTGTATATATAAAAATTTTGGAAAAAAGCACCTATTAATTTTAAAAAAATTCTAAATATATAAAGAAAGTCTACGGTGTGCACGATAATTATTCTCTAATTCTGAGATAAAAATACATATTATATATATTATTGAGAACTTAAGTTCAAAATTTGAATCTGCTTTAAAAGAGAAACCAATTAATTGAAAAATGACAACACATTCAAGTGACAAACTCATCAAATATACTAAATATTAAAATTAATCGAGTGATGTGATATCGTATGTTGGATCAATTATTTTATTATTATTAGAATTAATTTTCACGCTAAAGAACTAAAAAAATTTTATTTTTTCCGAGTTGTGTATATTGACTGTTCGAAAAGTAAATTTTGTTTTAGATATATATGCATGCTTTTTTACTGGAGCTATTAATTTGCTTATATTTGAACTATAGTAATATTCAATATTGTGTGATTATTTCGTACAATTTTAAGATCGATAAAAGATTCAATTTTTTTTTAATATTTTTTTTATTTAGAAAGAGATATGAAAACCAATATAAGTCTTTTAAATCAACATATCTCTATTTTTCAGCAATTAAATTACTGTACTTTATCAGAGTTAATATGAATCCGCTTAGTTAGTTTACTCATCAGAAGCTCATTGTTCGTGTATTATTTGTTGCTCGCTAAATCGG